TTGTTATCTTCATTACCGATAAACCAATTAGCATCAATGTACCATTTTAGTACAGTTGGATAATTACAATAAAATAAGCTAAGTTTTAAGGTCCTTTTGAAGTACTCAAGAACTCTCCCAACAGCCTTTCAATGCTCTGCATCAGAATTATTTGTAAACCGACTAAATTTACTTACTGCATATGCAATATCAAGTCTAGTACAAAGCATAACATACATTAGACATCCTATTGCACTAGCATACTCAAATTGTGCAATTGCTCTACCAAAATTTCCTATTAGCTTTATACTAGAATCATATTGTACGTTATATTTTTTAAATCTTAAATGCTTAAATTCTTTTAGTATTCTCTCAATAATATGTGATTAGATTAATGTATAACCCTTATTATGCTTTTTAACTTTTATTCCCAAGAACATATCTGTTTCTCCTAAATCTTTCATTTTGAAAGCAAATGATAAGTAGTTTTTAGTTTCATTTATATCAACCATATTAATACCCACAATAAGCATCTCATCAACATAAAGACATACAATCATACTATAATTTTCAATAAACTTTGAGTAAATGTATCTATTAGCACTGTTGTGTTTAAAACTAAAAGTTAGAATGCAAGAATCAAATTTTTCATGTTATTGTTTGGGTGCTTGTTTTAAATCATAGTGATATAACTAGTTTACAAACTTTCTTCTCATTTTCAGGAAGAACAAATCCCTCTAATTGTTCATATATAAACTTTTTCATTTAGATCATTATTTAAGAAAGTAGTTTTAACATCCATTTGATGAATAGATAAGTGATATAAGGGTGCTAGTGAATACATTATAAGTATTCTAATAGAAGTTGTTCTGACCACTGGTACATAGGTGTCAAAGTAGTTAATCCCTTCCTTTTAACTGAATCATTTGGCTACAATCTAGCTTTAAAAGTTTGTACAGTTCTATCAGTGTTGTATTTTCTTCTAAACGCCAATTTACATTTGATTGGTTTTGATCCTAAAGTCAAGTCTACTAGTACCCATGTGCTATTTGACATTATTGAATCTATTTCATCATTTATAGTTTTCTTCCAAAAGGTAGCATCTCTAGAGGTCAAGTCCTCATTGTAGGTTTTTGGGCCATTTTCAATGTTCAATACAATGGGTATTTTATTTAAAACTTTTTATCTATTAGACTCCACTAAGAAAACAAATGATTGGGTAAAGAAAAAATCAGAACCTAAGTGTTTTTTTGTTTTGTCTTTGACTTATTCTAGGTTCTACTGTAGGTATTACAATTGTGTTATTTCTTCTTTCAGTCTCATTGTTACTAATAGGTATTCAGATTTGAATTTCTCTTCTTGATTTTTTTTATGGATTCAAAATATAGTTTATTTTCAAAAAATTCAACATCTTTAGATTCAATTCTTATAGTGGATTCCAAATCTAAAAGCTTATAGGCCTTTTTATATTCTACATATCCAACAAGCATGCTTCTTTTTGCTATAAGTCCTAACTTTGTTATCTAGAACTCTCTAATATATTAAATACTCCCACACTTTTAGGTATGCTAAGTTAGGTTTTCTTCTTGTCCATAATTCATATGGACACTTATTATTAACTTTAGAAACAATCCTAATATGTAAATGGAAGATTGTTAGGAGTGCTTCCCCCTACAAGTTTAAGGGTGCATTAGCTTTCATTAGCATACAGTTTATCATTTCTATAAGTGTTCTGTTTTTCCTTTTGGTCAAACCATTCTATTAAAGGGTATAGGGAGCAAAGCATTGATATACTATTCCAAATTCTTCACAGAAGGAATTAAACTCATTCTTAAAGTACCTAGTACCCATATCACTCCTAAGTATTTTAATTTTTTTTCCAATTGATTTTCAACTTCATTTTTGTATTGTTTAAACATGTCAAATGCTTCATCCTTAGTTCTCATAAGGTAGACATAAGTGCATATTGAAAAATCAATAAAAGTTATGAAATATCTCTTACCTCCTCTAATTAATACATCATTTAATTCACATATGTCAGAATGAATTATTTCTAGAAGTTGAGAATTTCTCTCAATACTTGGTAAATGTTTCTTAGCCATTTTAGATTTTACATATGTCTCACATTTGTCATTTAATTCGTTACTATAAATAATTAAACCAAGTTTACTCATGTTCTTTATGGATATAAATTCAAGTGTGCTAATCTATCATGCCATAAAGAGAAAAAATCAACAATATAAGAACATTTTCCTTCATTAATATTCAATTTGAACATATTATTACAACCATATTCATTTCCAACAAACATCTCATTCTTGCACAGGATTAGTTTGTCGGATTTAAAGGCCCCTCTTGCAAACAATGTTTACTGAAACCAAGTTCTTCCTAATGTCAAGAACATGGAGAACATTTAGGAGAGTTAGTATATTTCCGGAGGTGAAGTTCAATTCCATGCTGCCTCTTCTAATAACTCTGGCACATATTTGGTTTCTCATCTGTACTTCTTGACCATCGGCCACTTCTTCATATGTTTTGAACAAAGACTTGTCGTTGCAGACATTAACTGTGGCGCCTAAATCAAACCATCATCTAGAAGATGATTCTGCCATATTCACTTCAATGATCATGGCCATTAGATTGTCTTCCACCATATTTGCGGACTTGGTTTCACCTTTCCGATGTCGGTAGACTCGAGCATAGTGCCTATTTTTTCCACAAATATAGCAGGATCCTTTCTTATAGTTGCTCTTTTTGAAGTTCACATCATTCTTCTTGTAATGCACGATTAGTCTTCTTCGATCCGTTTTCCACAAAGCTTACCTTAGAATTCAGCATACTTGCTAGGGTCTTATCCCTACTATCTCTAATCCGAGACTCTTCTTTAATACGAATGTATTGAATTTGCTCCAAGGTAAGTTCTTCTGCCTTGTGCAGAAGTTTCTTCTTGTAATACTTTCAAGAGGGTGGAAGTTTGGAAATTATTGCTCCCACTTGGAAAGATTCAGGAAGGATGAAACTCAAAATAATTTTAGTAATTTTCCAATGTGGGACAAATTGAAAATTGGTTTTAATAAGAGAAAAAACTATTTTCTAAAATATGTGTGCAGGTATATTTTTTATGTAATCGATCAATCAAACCCCATTGAATTTAATCTCTAATGAGATTAAAATCCAACAGTAGATTGCAGGGTTATGTTAAACCAAATACCCCATAGTTTAGTGCAGTACATTAAAAGATCTAAGAACCTTGTGGTGCACTTACTAGCCAAAAAAGCACTATCTCTCGCATCAATATTTACCTGGTCCGATGTTCCAGGCTTTTTGCTTCAAGCTTTCCTAAATGATTATACACTGAACAACTCAAGTTTATTCTCATGCCATTCGACGTCCTGTTCACGGGTTGGTTTGATTTAGTTGCATTTAGTTTTATCAACCAAACCAAAATAATCGGATTGGATTTCAGATCAACCGAAACCAACTAACAAACAGTGTAACCAACCCCATTTTTCATTTTGTTTTACATTGGTTTAATCGGTTTAAATTAAACCGAACCGAAATAATGCTTTTATAACATAAAATGTCAATCTGCCCATCTACCTATACTCCTACAATTGCAATCCGCCTGCTGTTGTAGTGTCAAACTTCATTAATTATGTTATCTCCTCATCTCAAAAAGTTTGTCGGTTACTTTTTTAAAGACAAAAGCACGTAATAGTATGAATGTCATGTTTGTGTATAGCGGTTCGGGTCGGTTTAAACTGAAACCGACCGAATCATTTTAGAAACCAACCATATCGTGTCAAATCGGTTTGGTTTGGTCAATTTGACCGGTTTACAATAGTTTGTAAACAGCCCTAGATATAGGTTCTTAGTTTTTAAGAACAGCTAAACTGATGGAACTGAAGGGGCTGAACTAAATGAATGGTTGGGATGATTACTGCAGCCCTTAATAGTTTGTTAAAGTAAGGCATTCAGTTCACTGTTCACCGCATGTCATATAGACACTACTAAATGTTGATGCCCCTCTCTCTCTCTGTTCACGAGTCATGAGTCATAAGTCATGGCCATGACCGTGATCTAACATGTTCTAAGATATTCTGATTCAAAGTGTTCAACCGGTCATAAATTCATAATTAATTAATATGCGCATGACATGGGTAATTAAGTAGCCGTCCATGCATTAAATGACCATCCATCTAAGCTGGGCCCATGTCACAAGCCCTCCAAATTGGAACAAAAGCGAAGTTACATCCAACACACACCTCACAAGTCACAACTCTTACTATGACCTAAGATTTGTTTAAATTCAAAGTTAATTAAGCTTAATAAAATAAGGTTCTTTTAAATTGCTTTTCGTTTAAGATATTCCCCTACCCCACCCCATTATAATCCTTATTCTCTGCTTTATTTCACCTTTAAATGAGAAGCTTTCCTCCACTATTTCAAGTAGGGAAAATTGTCTTCTTTTCTCTATTACGGACGAAAGAGTTGGCTTAACGGCTGGAAAGCGGAAAAAACTATCCAATATCCAGCACCTACTCGAAAGATTGTTTAAGACAGTGTGGGCCTAATGTCCTACACTTTTCCCACTGGGACCAGAAGAGAATAACGCAACTCATCCACGCTTCTCTACCACACAAATATATGGATCGTGGTTGCTTACAACAGCAATATCCAGTTCAAATTATGAAGAAATGCAGGCTCTCTGCAAGCCTCGGACACGGCAACATGAATCACAGCAAATCACATCATAGGAATTAGGAAATAGGATGGTCTCTGGCTTCAAGGAAAAAAAGCCCAATTGTGCAAGTGCAATTGCGAAGAATGATGCCTTATTTGGATGCCGCACGAAGCGAACTGATTGCGCTGTGGTTTTCCATTACATTTCGGACGTCAGAACAATAATTCACAATTTAAGATGGACCAACCCCCTTCCAGGTCTTTTAAACATTTCCAGGTGGCAACCTGAAACTAATGCATTTCAACTTTCAAGTGACGGTAGCTCAATTGAAATACTGTTAAAATAAAACCAAGAACAAAATGCTATAGAACTGAAGATTGTAAGAAAAGGAACAAGAAAACCACCGGAGGGAGATCTGCACTCGTCAAGTTATCATAACATACGCAGCTAAAAAAAAAAACATGAAAAGATTGAAACTCCAAAAAAAAATGAATACTATTAACTCGGTTAACAGATGTAGGGTGTGAAACCCAAGTCTGTCTCCTGTCTTTCTGTACATCCAAAAAATGCTTCTATGAACCATGTATAAAGAGTGCAACCACATATATCCATTAGAGAGGATATTTTCAGACCTAATCTCAACGTTTACACCAACGTCATATCACCTAAAGCATTTTATAAAGGATCCCAGATAGTGTTAAGTCATAAAAAGGATCCAACCTCCAGATTCTGTGCAAACCCAAGCTCCCACTGCCAGACAGGCACCACTTCAGTGCAGCAGCAAGAAACATTCTAAAGTGGTTTTGTTCAATATCCAAAATACTTTGGTGCCAAAAAGAACAAAGGCTCTAATGCACTTGGAGCAAATTTCCTCGCAAAGAGATAACATACAGAAGAAGGCTGGTTATTGTAAAGACAGCTATGACCTTCGAGAATCCTCTTCACGAAATCCTCTGTAATATCAGCTCTCCCAAATGTAGCTGGGTGAGCACCACCCCTTGACCAGTCCACCCAAGTTATGCTCCTATTTGCCAAGAGCTGTGCTGCCTGAATAGTCAGCATCGTTGGGAAATAATGCTCATCCACATAACAATTTGGTTTACAGAACTCTTCAAACTTTGGGTAGAATATGACATCCCCTACTATATTGATTGCAAGCTTCCTATTAATCTCAAACCACTGAGATCCTTTACGCCATTGAGTGATGTTGACCTCAGGTGCCATGTTCTCATTATAACGTCCTCTACCATATGGCCCCGGATCATCAAATGCACCAATAAAACTATACCTGGATCTTGCTATGTAGTTGTAGATAATGCTGAAATTGTAGAGAGGAATGCATGATTCAGACACAAGAACAAACCATTCATTGGAAATATCAAGTAATGCATTTGCTAGGAGTCTTCTTTCAGCATCACACATGCTCATCTTCCCCCATTCAGACACCTGCACACAGTGAAGCCACAGAATTTAGAAACTCATGGCTAGAGAGCACAAAAAGACCCGTTCTATTCAAACATGCACAAAAAATTTTTCCAGGTATCAATAAACAGCCATGGGTTCTGAAACAGATTAGACAGTCTACTATACTGAAATTTAGCATATTTGTCTCTGGAGTCACTAATATCCCTAAACTGAGTGCAGGCAACACCATACACGCACACACTTCAACGCAAACACAACTCAAAAAGAATGTCCTATTGCCAGCCCTCAAAAGTAGAAAAAGCATACTAAGAATAAGTAACCAAAAAATCCAGTAATAATGCAGAAAAAACAAACCCAGCATTAGATGCTTAAACAACATAAACCAACAATTATAATGAACTCTTGGTTCAATTACAAACAATGTGTTGCTATGTTACAAACAGATTTCCATGAAACAGCTTATTTTGTTTATGCTCAATTTTTAATGTCTACAAGATGGCCTTTCTCACTGCCAGTGGTTGTTATCAACAGAATTGAGCAACTTCTCTGTCAGTTCACATGGATTGGCAAAGACATCAATAAGAATTGCCGTTGGGTTATCAAAGAGCATGTATACATTTAAAAAAGTGAAGTGGTCCAGGGAGCTTTTACCTAGCCTTCTATAAACCATTTCCCCTACTTCTGCTCCTAACCTCAAGATCTGTACTTTCGTACTTCACACAGAGAAGAAACAAGCATATAATCTTACAGCTTAACAATCTACTAAAGATGGCAGAAAACTAATATAATTAAGAAAGTGAACCTGCATTACACATACAAATACAAAGCAGGATTCTTTATCCTTACCAATTCTAAACAAAACAAAATGCTGCAACAGTCAGTTTGCCATTTACTCCACATGACTAACCAAAATACCAAACCACTTCCAGGGACATGCTGACCAGGCAAAATCAATGTTTTAAAATGCAGAGGCGTGATGTGAGGCATTCCACTACCAAGAAGCATGAGGCATAGTTCAGAACGGAAGAGGCATAAACCTCCCGAACACAAGGAGGCATAAGCCTGCCGAAGAGAAGCTCTTTTTCCTTTGTTTTCTTTCTTCCTTTCTGCATGAGGCGTAGACCTCAGTGCCATCCACGCCTCCAGCATACGCCTCATGGTGTTTTGAGTACGCCTCAAACACCTTTAAAAACATAGGGTTAAATATCAGCCCTTCTTTTGTACTTGGGTTGAAACATTTTAAACCAAAAATCCAATGTCAGAACACTTTATCACTAATAGCAGTCCAAACTCCAATCATCACTACCAATGCTATACATGTAGCAGCATCCAGGTTATTGGTACCTAGTTCACCATAGTAGCCAACTGCCAACCACCTCCTCAGTATGAATAATCAAAGCTCTGTGAGGGACAATTTGATAAGACCAATCATGTGGAGTTGTATCAGCATCCAACTCCATGTTTTGGATGATCTATAATACACAAAACATACTCTTTTATCATATTGCAGAGCATGCATTGCCAAGTGAAACATTTCACTAATAATCAAGATTCAATGTATCGATACAATATGTCCAATACCTTGAAATGGCTGGTGGGCATGGTGGTTTTAATGTTTTGTAATTTTGTGTAAGGCTGAATTCTGGTTAGAGTTTTCCTATTTGTTGGGTGATTTCTCATCACCAATTTGATGTAATCTTTGATGTGCCTTTTTTTCATTTAATAAAATTTTCTTTTTTAGTTACTACCAAAAAATACGATATGTCCACCCATACACTAAAATAGAGGCATTAGGTGATTTCACTGTCTATTCTCTTCCATCATTCTGTACTTTTCAGTACCATATCCATTGTTAAAATTGTGGGCCTTTAAATCATTTCCCACTACTTCAACCCATGTCCTTTTAGGCCTGCCCCTATCTCTTCTAGACCCTTCAACTCACTAACTCCATATGTGCTCACTCCTGCCACCTGTACCATTACCCATTTTTGCTTTCACATAGTAATTGCCAATCCATACAAAAAGCTATTACAACTCATATTCGAATTGCTTTTGCTCTACCTATCAACTTTTGATGTAGTTAAAAAAATAAAATAGGGTCAAATGTATCTTCCATCAGAAAGAATTCATTAACCAATATGAACACAAATTTGAAAAAGATAACAAGTGGCATAAGAATTCCAGAAAAGAGACACCTACTCACATGGTAAAATCAGCATCCCTTTAGATAACAGATGTATCAAACAAGATAGATGTGCTCTAAGAAAGCAAAGAACTTCATCCTTGTCTCTGCACCTGTACCACACAAGTGCTTCTCTCACAAGTACACCAAAATTAGGACCATCCATCATCTTTGGTATTTCACACCAACATTAGGGCTGTACATCAATACAATCTAGTCATACAGCTATTACTGTCATTAGTAGTCAGGGATGCTGACTGAAGAGGCCATTATGGTAACAAACACAGACTTTACATGAGGGATTCACCAAGTAATACACTCCTTTTTCCAGAAGGAAAACAGACCTTGATGTTGGAAGCTGACCAATCAACCCTGCTCAGCCTAATGACGCATTAAGTAGCTATTAGCAGTTGGTGATGAGATGTTCAGAGCAAGGTTCAAAATTTCAAAGGTGTATTGTATCATATCTTTCCAATACTGGTACACCCATCTAAAGGTTTTTTAAGTAATTATTGTTTTTAATAATTAAAACATATAATAATATGCCCAAAACTCAAATTTTGAAAAAAAAAAAGAAAACAAAGGTCAAAGTATCAATACACCCCTTCTGCCGCATCAGAGTGTATTTGAATCTTGTTTCAGGGAATGGGGGAGAAAGACCATTGACACTGTCAAAGATGTCCAATTAAAGAGAAGGTACATGCTTTACAATGACTGCCTTCATTTTGAGCTTCCTGACTTGTCTTCAAGTGAAAATAAAGAATTTCCTGGAACTATGTCAATATGACATTTCCTGGGCAATTTGTATACATTGTTGAATCAGGTTACATCATGTATGTACATAATTTAGTTGCTTTTGATGACTCACCAAAAGAACAAAACTAGAGTCAGCTAATGCTCTCCAAGAAAACTGTAAAACTAACATGATGGAACAGATGCATGTGCTAGTGTACTAGCAAGAAGCAGCTTTAAGCCAGATTACTTGCTTAGCTCAGAATCATGTATGGGAACTCTAGCACACTCCAGCTACATACAAATTTCTAGGGAGGCCTATGCCTAGAGTATATCTGGGGCACTGGGGAATGCAAGTAGGGGTGTCAATCGGACTGGATTTGGTCCAGTCCAATCCGATCCAACATTGGTCCATTTACAAATGGACTGGACCAAATCCAATCCAAATCTATACAAACTGGATTGGATCCAGTCCATTTGAAATGCAAATGGATTGAATTGGGTCAACCCGGTCCAAACTAAATGAAAATTCAAAAAATACTTGAAAACCCAGAAAATGTGAAAAGGTCACAGAAATGGTTTCTTGAAACAAATAGTTGGCCTTTGGACACATCTTGTGTGCGCAAGCCAAGCATTCTACTTAGTTCTAGTAGTGATTGAGGTGAAAATCTCAATCTCAAAGCATAGGAGTATAGAAGCAAACGAGCAATAAGTCCCCATTCTATTTGAAATTTTTAATAGCTGGAGGGTCCCACCACCTGTTCCAAAATTCCAATCTAAAGGCTATCAAATGCATTGCCTTGGCTGTGCTTTGGGACAGCAGATCATCCCACTGAGACATAAGAGTCTAACTAAGGCACCGATCATCCTGATCATAAAGGTACATCAGTGTTGCCACCAAAGCATTTTGTTCTTTCAAACTGTAGAGAACAGTGATGTGGGCCCCACAGCTGTGGTCCCACTCTGTCCGTAGGGTAGAATGTATCTAGTCACAGCTGTGGTTATTTTGCTGTT